AATACACATAATTGTATACATGAATGTACATAATTATATAACAAAATATACATACTCTTTTTAAAAGATAATACACATAATCTAACATAATAATTAATAAACATAAACTTTTAACATAATACACATCAACTCTTAACATAATACACACAAATTTTCTGATTCGGATGTACATAATTGTATAAAAAGAATGTACATAATTGTATAAAAAATACGCATAACTGTATGAACCAATACACATAACGTTGTGAACAAATACACATAATGTTATGAACAAATACACATAATCCCAGCAACTTCCTACCGTGCCTCCCAACACGACCCCAAAACGACGTCGTTTTAGGAGGCGCGCGGCGCATAGTGCTATGTGCGCCGTGGTATAGGATATAACGATTGACTAATAACTGCACCGGCTAAATACTTTAATAGCCAAAAAAAAAAAAAAAAAAAGTTAGGGTTCTTGTAAATATGAAAAAAGTGTACGAATGTGTAATGTCTGAAAATTAATGTCTAACACAAAATTGTAAAAGGTGCTAGGCACCAGGTATACAAAAATTTTAATTACTTGTTATTTATTTTAAAATTTAATATAAAAACATAAAAGGCTTTTCATTTACTTTAGATTTCAACACCAAAGCATAAAAGACTTTTCCTTTATTTCAAAGTTTCAATACCAAAGCATAGAAAGCTTTTCATTTACTAATTAGTAATTACTAATTACTAGCCTTTCATTTACTTCAGGCATAAATACTGAAGCATAAAAGGCAGAGCCTAGGCACATTATTTAAAAATATATATATATATATATATATATATATATATATATATATATATATATATATATATATATATTGTTTTTGCCTTTCATTCACTTTGAAGCTATAAAAAAAATGGAAATTTTTTTTTTCCCTTGAGTCATATGCATATAGTACTTTTTCTCCTGAATTAGTAATTGTCCCGTGCGATGCACGAACTATTATTAATTTAACAAATTTACCAATTAAATTTTTGACATCCTCTGAATTAGCAAGAAAGTAATGGTTGTGGAAACAGAAAAACGTATTTGAATTCTTGAGTTCAGAATTAGTTTCATTAAAAATGTAAGTATAACTATACAATGTAATATTTAATATTTTTAAAAGTTTAATCATGTTATTATTATGTTGATTTTAAAGTTTATTGTTACTTGTATTATTATTTGAATTTGAATTTGAATTTTTTTGAAAGGAATTTGATTTTGAAATAACTACTTTAATTATATAATTAACGTATTTAAATAAAACTTGAAAATAAAATAACAGGCAATATTTGTCGAAAATTTCCACCAAAAATTTATTCATTTTAAAAATATTATTTATGCAAGAACTATATTTATTTTATATCTAATTTCTCCTCTTTATATATGTGGAGTCAAATTAATTATAATTGAAGTTTAAATTAATATATACACAAATTATATTAAATATAAAACTTTACCAATAAATTTGAACACAATAAACTTTTTTCCATACTTCAAGAGGTGGCAACAAAATATAATTTATAAAATATAAATATATATAATAACTCAAAAAAATATGTATTAATACATCTACCCACACAATTAATGCTTTCATACTTGCTAATCTTGTTTCTATCGAAATGCATTCACACTTGGAGGGTAAATTTTGTAGCTAGATTCTGCTTTATTATATAGGGAAAATGACACTTTTTACCCCTGAGTTATATACTTATAGCACTTTCCCCCCTGAATCATTCAAGTGGCTATTTTCCCCCGGCCCTGAAATGTTAAATGGACATATTTAGCCTTAAAATAAATATTTTATTTATTTTTCTTCTCCAACAAATTATGACCACGATTCGGTTCAAATTGAACAGACACTATAGCAACTAAACTGAAATATTTCAATTACAATTTAGAATCGAAACTTGATATTTAGAGTTTATTAAAATCGCGAACCGGAACGGCCGGTTCATGTTCCAAACTGAAAAAAAAAATACATTTATTGTTGAATTTAGACTATTTAAAAAATAGAAATAAAATGTTAAAATAAAGATGATTCAAAATCACGAACCGGATCCCGAACCGTCGGTTCATGGTTCAGAATCCAATTTTTTTTATTCATAATTTTAATAAACTGAAATCTAAATATTGTGTTCTAGATCTGAATCATAACCGGAAACTTTCAATTCGATTGTTATAGTGTCCGGTTCAGTTCGAACCGAACCGTGGTCATCCCTACATATAAGCAATAATTTGTTGGAGAAGAAAAATAAATAAAATGTTAACTTTAAAGGGTAAGAGTGTCAATTTAATATATCAAGGGGGAAAATCGCCACTTTTAGAATAATTGAGGGGGCTAGTGTGCTTACATAAATAACTCAGGGGGAAAAAGTGTTATAAGTATATAACTCAGGGGGAAAAAGTGTCATTTTCCCTATTATATATAAAGATTATATATAAAGATTATTCATGCATTCACATTTGTCCCTTCAATTATTTTAAAAGTGGAAGTTTTTACCCCCTTTGATGTTAATGGACATTTTTACCTTTAAAATAATTATTTCATTCATTTTTCTTCTCCAACAAATTATTACTTATATGTTGGGTTGATTACTGTTCGATTTGAACCGAACCGGGCACTATAGCAACTGAACTGAAATAGTAAGGATGGTTCTTGTTATTATTTAGAACCGGAAAAAAATAAAATAAAATAAAATAATTGTTGAAAATAGACAATTTTACAAATAGAAAATAGAATTTATAAAAATAAATAAATAAATTTTGAACCGACGGTTGAATCATAATAAATGCGAACCAGAACTGAACAGATTTGTAAACACAGTTTGTAAATGATAAATTTCTTCGGTTCCAGTTTACAGTTATTCTGATTCCAGTTTTAGTTTGAGCTGCCGATTCAAAATTTATTTATTTATTTACTTTTGTAAATTCTATTTTATATTTTAAAATAGTTTAAATTCAACAATTATTTGTTTCAATTCTGAATCGTAACAAAAACCGTCCATACTATTTCAGTTCGGTTGCTATAGTGTCCGGTTATGTTCAAATTGAAACGTTGTCATCCCTACATATAACTAAAAAGTGATAATTTGTTAAAGAAGAAAAATACATGAAATAATTATTTTAAAGATAAAAATGCCCATTTAACATCAAAGGGTGAAAATCGACACTTTTAAAATAATTGAGGGGACAAATGTGAATACATGAATAATTCAGGGGGGGAAATGCCATTTTCCAAAAATAAAAATAAAAATTCATGACTCCACTATTCTCTGTCGAATGAAAAAAGACTCAGTTGGCTCGGTCCGACTGAGTTAGATGTCGAGGGCGCCTAACATGATGACTAGTTTGTCGATCGACTAAAAGGGTCTAGGCCTCTGGACAGCCACTTAGGCCGATTTTTACAATAGTAGTTTAACATAAAGTAAATATGTTTATATATATATATATATATATATATATATATATATATATATAATAGGGAACAGATACTGCATTGTAACAGAGTTAATAATACTAAAAAAGGAGACTTGTAGTTTTAGTTTGCTTACCAATTGGCAACTGGCCTAAGTTACTAGGTGTATATATAACTTTAATCCTATGTAGCTATTATTTTTAGAGCAAATTACACTTTTGGTCCTGTGACTATAGGGGTGTGTTAATTTGGGTACGTGACTTTTAAAACTAACAATTTAGTCCTTTAACTATCATTTTTTTAGCAGATTTGGTCCTCCCGGCCAAATTGCCGGTGGAATTTGGCCTGAAAGACGTTCGACTTTTTAAATCAAATATTGGTGGGGGTAATTCGGTTCAACAATTAAAAAGACCGAATTACCCCGACCAATATTTGATTTAAAAAGTCGAATGTCTTTCCGGCCAAATTCCACTGGCAATTTGGCCGGGAGGACCAAATCTGCTAAAAAAATGATAGTTAAAGGACTAAATTGTTAATTTTAAAAGTCACGTACCCAAATTAACACACCCTCTATAGTCACAGGACCAAAAGTGTAATTTACTCTTATTTTTATACCAATATATAACAATATGGCTGATGGGTTGGCAAAGATGGCAAGGTTTGGTATGATCGAATGGAGAGGCCTTAAGGAACCACCGAGTCATGTTAGACAGTTACTTGAGGATGACTGCATGAGCCGAACGTGACTACGTAGATTGAGTGAGGGAACTATGAGTAGGGTTTCTGGGGTTTCACCCCGTCTTTGATCCAAAAAAAAAAAAGTATCAACCTATTTTATTTTTTTAAATTAAATTTAAAATAAAATTTTATAGTGACATACTCGTAACATTAAGGACAGAAAATTATGTCCACTTATTTGGTCATCCCTTTTAATGCTCTAATGTTTTTTTCTTGATAACCTAGCACCTAGGTTTCTTAATTTCACTGAAACTCAACATCAAAGTGCACACTTCTGTACATAGAGTCCAACTTAAACCCAAACTCTTCATATTCTCGACAAGTGACAAGAATCGAACCTACCATGTCATTGTAAGCAAGTCTTAAGTAAAGATTCTTATTCACTACACCAATAGATTGTTATGCCGTGGAACTGTATCCACCTTGCAAGGTGGACACGGTTCTATGTTCATACTTTTTGAACTTCATATTCACAATTATTGAACTTTATGTTCACAATTACAAAACTCTATGTTCGTAATTACTGAACTCTATATTCATAATTATAAAACTCAACTCAATGTTCATAATTTTTGAACTTCATATTCGCAATTATTGAACTATATATTCACAATTACAGAACTTTATATTCATAATTATAGAACTCTATATTCATAACTCTATGTTCATAATTTTTGAACTCTATATTCACAATTATAAACAGTTTTGGAACAAGGTGGACACGGTTCCATAACATAATTTTCCCTACACCAATGTCTTGGGCCACTCCAATGCTTCTTTTTTCATTGGTTTGTATGTCAAATAAGTATAGTAATCATCTTAGTGAGGTTCAAGCCACCAAATAAGAATTTCTTGTACTGAGATTTCCAATGCTAGATAAGGGAGAATATACAGTAAACTCTGTTTCTAAAACTACTTAACCAAAGATGGCACTTTCAAGAGTTGAAGACAAGCCTTGTACAAATGAACAACCTCAATTTTACATCTGTATTGAAAAACATCTGACAAGCCTCATACAAATTAGCAACCTCAAATTTTACATCTGTATATGAAAAACACCTTTCCTCTGTCTATGTGAGCTATTCAGCATTGGGTACTCTCCCACCCAACATTTCTGGATTTTCTACATTAGATTGATGAGGCTGAGGCCCTGCTTGGGGCACTGAAGGTTCTTGATTTTGTTGCCTCGGCTGTTGTCCCGGTGGCAGTGCAGCCTGAGGATTCTCTTGCTGGCTCAAGAAGGCGAGCTGCCGCCTTCTTCTCCATCTAGAATACTCGACTATAATGGAGCTTCCGCTCATTGCAATGCCGATGCCTGAAAATGTTGAGAGAAGGATTGACATGATGACTTGCAGATGAACCTGCAAAAGATGCATCATTCCCTTAGTTTCCACGGATCAGATTGCCAAAAGACAGTGGTTTACTATGGAAAAGAGATGATTAGTGTTTGCATCTTACCAAGGAGTAGAAAATATGTGCAAAGAGTACCACCAATGCAAACTGAACTGAGGCGAAAACCCAGACAAATTTTCTCTTCACTACAGGAAACCACAAAATGTTCATCAGAAACAAACAAAAAAAAAAACATATGTTAAAGGGAGAAATTGAAAAGATGAGAGAAAACATATGGGTTTATAAGACCATAGGTTAGACTAACTAACATATTGGATTTAGTCTTTTAGTGTGGTTTGACCAGTGTTGTAAAAATCAGCCGAGGCGATTTTAACCCTAGCCACTTTTAGTCAGCTGACCGACTAACCGGCCGACTAGGCGCCGAGTTGGGTGCCTAACTCGGCTAAGTCAGACGCCTAACTCAACCGAGTCGGTGTCCAACTCGGCCGAGTGTTTTTTTTTTTTTTGCTTGCTCGACTGCTCCTCTTCTCTATATTTCTCCAGCCATGTACTCAACTAACCATCTAACATATGCCCATGTACTCAACTAATCATCTAACATATGCACTTGACTAGTTTGGAGGATTATAACAGGCTAACAACTCCTAGCCTGGAAAAAGTACGGATTACTCGGCCGCCTAGACACCTCCGAGCGCCTGGCTAACGCCTAGTGCCTTATGCAATATTGGGTTTGACCCATGTGCATTATAACCTAGTTAGGTGGTATGACCCAATCTTAGTTTATAGCATGGCACTTTGTGTGTCACCCGGTTGTGGATACTTAGGTCAATTTCTATTCCCAACATAGTATTAGTATGTAATGTAATATAACCTGTTTCCCTATCTTTTGTTTATGTTGAAAATTCAAGAATCTTTAATATTTCTTTGCAACCTCGTATAACATACCCATAGTTGATGCTGTCATAGATGAAATAAGGCCGAGGACACAAGAAAAGGGCAATGATATGGCAATTGCACCAGTACCCATTTTTCCAACCTGCAAATGAACAATTAATCCCGTAAAAAATAAAAACCTTGTGAATTGAGAGATGGGCCGAGACGCTCATCTTACCAAAAGCTGCTCAAGGAAACAAAAGTAGGCGAGCATGCTGACAATGACAAGAATGGGCACTTCCTCCCAAACCCTGTTGCCATTATAGATAATACTGATTAGTGCACAGTTGAAAAGTATGTAAATATTAAACTATAACGTATTGATTAAGTTGCCTAAGATTTGGGGAAACATAAAGATATCTGTGGGTGAATAGCAGTAGCAGAGTTTTTAGTTTGAAAAAGATGATAGAACTATCTTCAAAATCAAATGATTCATCAAGCAAAATCACATTGTATTTAGAAATAAGTTAGCATGGGAGTTGGTAAAAAGTAGTATGCTTTACAGGTCCACGTTCCTTTGGTGATAAAGGTTCGAGTGGAAGAATCAATTAAAGAAGAGAATAATAGATGCTCGCTCACCTGTAACCGTTTATTTCCATTTGACTTAATCTACTTGCACCAGTATCAGTATTTTGTATGCTCTGAATCCGCAGCAGTGTGACGGGGAGATTAAGGACTTCTTGCTTGCATACATCACACGTCTTGTTACCTTTGATGCTAAACCATTTAATGGCACATTCTTGGTGGGCCAGGGCGAGTTCGCCTTTACAGCTGCATTCCATCTTTAGCGTTTCCCCACCTTCACATAGTTCAACCAAGCAAATTCGACAAACAGCTTCTTCTTCCGGTATATCTTCACCGTCTTGCTCATTTTCTTCTGAAATAAACTAATGTTATTCAGAAGCAGGTAAATTTTCTTATATGCAGCCAGCAGTTGAAACTTGTCGACACCATAACGAGAACAAGAATATTCCCCAGCAGTCTTTATAGTAGTTTTTCTATTACAAGAACAGACATGGATGATGCAATATAAAACAATAGATTACCAGAATCTCCTGTTGGAGCTGCAGCTGAAGTAATGGAATTTGCATCTTTCGCACAAGGTGTTGAAGGGATAACACGGAAAAAAGATTCCACTTTACGGATGCTCTGGTCCTTGTTATTGACTGGTAAAGAAAGTGATCGAGATATGCGCATTTTGGCTCCTCTTGACTGTAGTTAACAACACATACAACTAAACTTATAGTTGGCAAACAAAACATACTCAAAACTTAAACGTGATCGAATAAAATTCAAAGCTATAGTATCCTAAAGTATAGAATTTACATAAGGTGTTAGAGAGTTACTTACGCTTCCCCCGCGCACAGAATCTGGATTTGAATGTGCAATAGGAGTACCGGGCAACGAAGTGGCATTCTTCATGCGTGGTGTAAATATTTTAGTAAGAGACCAAGACCTTGATATGGATACCTTCTCCTGCGATGTTGTGGCTGAAGAACCCGGATCGATATCAGCGGCCTTCTCTATATCTGGATTAGAACTACGGTACTTAAAGCTCAATTTGGGCAATAGGTTCCTTAAGGATGATTTGCCTCTGGATGATATGGGACCGGGAGATCCTTTTACACTTGGATCTGCAGAACTTGGGGTCAAAACAAAATTCACCTTCTTTGGAGTGGGAAATGATTTTATTTGAACTAATTCTTCACAGGAATCCTCCAATGTTCTCGTAGGTATCTCCAAAAAAAGGTTGGGTTTTTTCCAATGTCCAGCAGGCATTTTTTCTTCAGTGATTCCAGAGGAACTCTCGGTCTGCAAAATGAAGAAATTTCAGCAGGGTGAACTAATAAATAGGCAAGAGGGGTTTCCTAGCTGAGTAGAAGTAAACCACTATGTATAAGTGGCTATCCTCTCTTCATTTCAAAAGGTTTTTGAAATTTGAACTCAACAATGGTATAAACTTGAAGCAATACATGAGAAACAAGAAGCAGATTGACAACATGAATCCCTAGAACAGCTATATATATTCCACAGAACTGGAATGGGAATTCTGAGTTAATCAATGAAGCCTCTTTTCCCCATCAAAATTACATTATCCCCCATAAACAACTGTCACTGTAAGTCAAAATCCCATAATTAATCAGTTGAAATGTGAGCTTCTAGGGGGGCAACCCCAAAGAAGTTAGTCAAGTGTCAAGGTTATAAGTTGACTTAGTAACCACAAGGTTACAAGTTCGACTCCCGCGGGAATAACCTATTCACCTTCTTAGTTGAGAAGGTCAGCTATGGATAACTAGGCTGTCTGGCCTGGCTAGATCGAGTTTACATAGTACACATCCTCGAATTCTAAGAAACTGATTAAATGCTAGCTGATGCACAATATTTTAGTAAAATTAGCAACAGAATACATAACCTTTAAGCCTTAGTGGTTGCTTCATCATACTCATGGAGATACCATTAGTTTACACAGTTTTTTTTTTTCATCAGGAGCAGAGCAAAAAATTGTCAAAAATTTTCAATGATTCAAAATATTTGAAGCCCTTAAACTCAAGCCTATCATAAACTTGATGAAAGCATAGCTATACAATAACCCCCCACCCATACAAAAATCCTTCAAATTAGGAGAAAAGGGGAACAAGAATTTAGACATAAAAGGAGCAAAGGAGGAAGAAGCAGAAGAGAATATACCATAGGGATTGAAATAACAACTTCTCTTACTTCCTCAGCAGAGGAAGGCTCTTTCTTGTCACTGTTCATGATCCCAGTACACAAAACCCTCAGGCCTCAGCTACCCAGAATCCTTCAAGCCCCAAGAACCAAGCTTTAAGCAGTGAAGAAGAAAACAGTGTTATGGGAATTGAAGATGTTGAGAGATGGGTGACTGAAGAAAGAGTAAATGGAAGATGAATGAGAGAGAAATACCGGTATGGGTTGGTGTCATAAATATAAAATGCCTTGGAACTAATGGCAAAAGCAAGGAGCTGTATTTATCAGGTAAGTAGGCCACTTTATTGAATTGTAGTGTGATAACAGTCTGAGCTTCCACGTCCTCCACTCCCCAAAGTGCGGCATCACTTCACTACCCTGTGCTACGTCGCGGCCAGGATGTGGGCAACTCATGCAGATTCCTATAAGATATACTTCCCACCATGGCTTCTTACAAGTTATTATATATAGTATCTCTATCCCCTGTGTCAAAGGGATTGAGTCTGGACCACATTCGCATATCAGATTATCAGATTAGGCTAATGTTCTCGGCACCGCCTTAGCTTCAATGGTTCAGTAAATAGGATAAGAGATCAATGTTTGATTTTGACAATGTAAAAATTATGTTTAAAGTGGACAAATCATTATGTGTACCTATACATTTGACTTTGTCTGCTGAACTATTAAATCACCGTGATTTACATCCTCTTCAGGTCAAAGTGTAGAGATTTTGGGTTGAAAATTCAATCTTTTAAGAAAAGATTAGGCCAATGATTTAGAGAATTTTAACTACAAGTTGAAATTAAATGTAGGGTAGCACGAGTAATTCAATTGGTTGTTGATGATTGTTTAAAAATTGAAAATAAAAAAAAAAAATTGAAATACATATAATATTTTCCTATTAGAAAAATAGGGAAGGGATCAGGTGCATTTGTTGCTTCCCGTGCGGTTGTGCTGTGGATTAATGTGCGTGAGGTTTATACTTAATGTGCGTGAGTGTTATGCTCAATATGCTTGAGATTTGTACTTAATGTGCGTCATGTTAATATGCGTGAGTTTTGTACTTAATCTGTCAGAGTATTGTGCTTAATATGCGTGATATCTTTATGTGCACCTATACATTTGACTTTGTCTGCTGAACTATTAAATCACCGTGATTTACATCCTCTTCGGGTCAAAGTGTAGAGATTTTGGGTTGAAAATTCAATCTTTTAAGAAAAGATTAGGCCAATGATTTAGAGAATTTTAACTACAAGTTGAAATTAAATGTAGGGTAGCACGAGTAATTCAATTGGTTGTTGATGATTGTTTAAAAATTGAAAATAAAAAATAAAAAAAATTGAAATACATATAATATTTTCCTATTAGAAAAATAGGGAAGGGATCAGGTGCATTTGTTGCTTTCCGTGCGGTTGTGCGGTGGATTAATGTGCGTGAGGTTTATACTTAATGTGCGTGAGTGTTATGCTCAATATGCTTGAGATTTGTACTTAATGTGCGTCATGTTAATATGCGTGAGTTTTATACTTAATGTGTCAGAGTATTGTGCTTAATATGCGTGAGATTTGTGCTTAATGTGCGTGATTCAACAATCTGGAATTGAAGCAAACAACAGAAGTTCCAGATTCTCGCACCAAGATCGGTCTGCATAGACCATTGATAATGATAGAATTTGTGTATTCACTTTGGGAAGCTTTTATTTCATTGTAAACATCAGTAAAGCAGAGCAACACACTATTATATGTCGTTATTGAAACTTGAAGATTCAAATCTTTCATCTTGGATAGAACAAAAAGAGCATCACCAACCATCTCAGATGTCGAATAAGCACATGCCAGAATATTCCATACCACATTATGAGCAACCCAATAATCGAAGGCAACTCACAGAGTGCAAGTACTGGGAATGGGGAAGAAGAAGCTGATATCCATATTTTCTGCTGCATTTTACACATTCACGCATATTAAGTACAAATCTCAAGCACATTAGACACAACATTCACGCACATTGAGTACAAATCTCACGCACATTAATAACCGCACAACCACACCTTTCACTAGAAAAATATATATAACATTTTTCTATCTTTTTATTCAATGATCATTAAATCACCGTGATTTCCCTTCCTCAACTGGCAATTAAAAGTTGGGTCGAGTAGACGAGTACAGATACAGTACAATTACGCAGAAAGATACGGAATCAAGTTGGGTTGGAACTAGGAAAGATGTCAGCTTTAATCTCTCTCTTTTTTTATTTTATTTTATTTTATTTTATTTTATTTTATTTTATTTTTTATTTTACTTCATATCAATCACATGGGATTATAGTGAAAAAAAAAAAAGTTAGGATTAAATTAAATGAATTGTGTGTACGATTTTTTGTTTTTCTAGAGTTAAATACCAATCATGGTGATCAACTATTAATTTAATTATTTTTAATTTTTACAATTTTTTAAATTAATTATATTTAATTTTTTAAAAGAAAATGATAAAGGAATCTCGAATATTTTAAATTAAATTTGTTTGATTTGTAAAAGTAATGTTTGGTTGATGTACGTAAAATAGCTCGCGTGTCCTCAACCAACATACCAAACTCACTTAGCAACCAAAGACCTTTAGCTCATGGCAAGCAACTTGTTTACGTAGCTCAAGCGAGGGGCAAGTGTCCGCCTTTCTAATAAGTATGGCTACTAGCACCATCTAAGCAGGAAGGACGGTTAGAGATCATGGGAATATGGGATGACAACAAACACGGCCTATAGATGATTAAATTGTCTTTTTTTATACTTTTTTTTTTCTTTTCAGAAAGAACAAAATAAGATTGTCATCTCTCTATAAATAAGCATTATATTTAATTGTATTTTTTAACAAGTATTGTACAAGAGTAGTGAGACTCAATAACTATTAATTTCATAGTTATATGTGCAATGTGTTTTTTGGACCTTTTAGCCACCAAAATAATACAACTATATTGCTGCAATATACTAAAAGTAGTCAAAATAATAGTTAAAATAGTTCACAAATAAAAATGCCGTTATAATTGAAATGCTAACCATAATATTATCTCTTTTTTGTGTTTGTGTGGGGGGGGGGGGGGGGGGGGGCGGACGCCAGGAAGAACCTATGATCGGCGATTGGAATGAGTGGATCGTCGAAGAAAGGAGGTCATGGCGGGAAGCTCACGTGGTCCGATAACGGTTACTCGGCTGAAATGGGGTTGGCTGAGAAGAAAGCACTTAATGCTCATATGACCCCAACTTTGAAGATCTAGAGGAGATCGTCTGGTGCCGATTCATGAAAGAACATTCCGATCAGCTCTTGTTTCGGGGGATGGTACGGTGTTTGATCTCTATATTGGGAGTTTCTAGATGTAAATACTACGTTGACAAACGGTGATGAGTGCAAACTGAGAGCTCCAACCTTCCACACTCATCACTGCCATGAATGGTGGGAAGCATGTCTACAGTACCAACTGATTTCATTTAAGGGAAAGAAGAGGCAAGCAATGGAAGATGAAAAGTGGAACAAACTCACCCGAAAAGACCCAGTTTGTCGGAGAAGACAAACGAAACTCTGTATTTTGAGAAGTAGGAAGAATGAAGGGATGAACCTTTTTTTTTTTTTTTTTTTTTTTTTTTTTTTTTTGCTTTTTTTTTTTTAAAAGTCAACCCTAATAATTTCTATGTACCTATTTTGAAAAAAAAAATAATAATTCCATGTCATCTATGTTGACAGGCAACCGGAGAGAAATCTGAGAAAAATGCTAATTGAACAAGTTAATGTGTCTAATTCATAGTTATATGTGCAATGTGTTTCTTGGACCTTTTAGCAACCAAAATAATACAACTATATTGCTGCAATATACTAAGGGTGTGTTTGGTTGGTGGGTTTTGCCCATAGGAATGGGTATGAAAGTGATGGTTGTTGTTTGGTTGATAGGTCTTTAGAACACTACTATGGGTTTTGAATACCCCATCAATTGAAAAACCCATACCCAAATACAATAAGGGTTTCATTCCCTTATTCATTTTCAAGCACTACTATTAGTAACCATTCCCATTCCACCTTACTACCAAACATGTTAAATACTTTCACCAAAACCCATTACCATTACCAAGTATTTGATACCCATTCTGATTCCGATTCCTATGTGCGAACCAAACACACCCTAAGGGGACGTTTGGTTCAGGTTATATAATATAACTAAGGGAATGTGACATTCCAAAGCTCAGATTCTGGTGTTTGGTTCATATTATCTTAGGGAATCTAACATTCCTAAGGAATGTCACATTCCCTCCACATAGGATTTTGAAGGGAATGTGATTCCCTTCAAAATCTTAAGTAAGGTTATCTTAAGGATATTATAGTGTGTATAAAAGATAACCCTAAACCAAACATGATTATATTACATACCCCAATTTTAACCAAACACATGAATCTAACATTCCCAGTAATTTAACATTCCCAGCAATCTAACATTTTCTAAGGTAATCTGACATTCCGTGAACCAAACGACCCCTAAAAGTAATCAAAATAATAGTTAAAATAGTTCACAAATAAAAATGCCGTTATAATTGAAATGCTAACCATAATATCATCTCTCTCTTCTTTTTTTTTTTTTTTTTTTTTTTTGGGGGGGGGGGGGTGGGGGATAACCTCTATATATAAAGTATTGTAATTAAATAACTCAGCAATTCCAATTCCGAGCAATTGTACGTGTGCCCCATATCAATTTTGTTGGAATAATTCAATTTGACATCTTAATCTTTACATCCTAATCTGATAATAAAATTACTTTTGTTTATTGGCTACCATATATAGTCAAGTCCTTCTAACATTTTCTATTAAAAAAAAAAAAGAATATACTACACAATTTTTTTAGTTTGTGAGCTATTACACAAAGATAAGATTAGTGCACATCATTGTCCGGTGGTTGCAAGTTTCTCTTGTCACAAAATAAAAAGTTCTTCTCTCAAATAAAAAAGTTTATTAATCAAATATAACAAGAATTAATCAATAATTATTGTTGGAGGTGAACTTAGGTGAGGTGTAACATTTTTATTTAGTACTATTGACTCTATTTTAATATATTATCTATCTACTAGTTTTTTACGCGCATTGCGCGATTGGGATAATGCCCAATGTTTTTTTTAAATAAGTACTTTAAAGTATATTAAGGCAAGATTATATTGAAATTGTTCATGCATAGATAATTGAAGGTTGAATTTTCGTATTTAAATAGGTAATTCTTCTCCCAAAGGTTGAGTCCCCAACCCCAAGGGCCCCCCACACTCCGACC